TGGGGGTGGGGGGACCTTTGTATCATCTCCCCAAATTCTTATGTTTATGTGACCCTGTGCCTTTTGAAGGGTACAGGGTGTGTAAATGTGAATGTCCCAGTCTTGTGTATAGTGTGTGTTCCTTTGTTCTCGGCCACATGGCTGTCCATTGTTTGTTTGCCATGTGCTACCCCCCCCATTGTGCTGCGTCTTCCTGTCCAGCCAACTATTATGGAAAGCATGTGTCCCTGTATTGTCCCTGCCATGTGGTTGCCTATTGTTCTATGCCATGTGCTTCATCCCATTGTTCTGTGTCTTGGTGGGATGGCGCGGGCTGATGATGTGTTTCCTGTCCCTGGTTGTCTTTCCCCGCCCTCTGTATAAAACATGTTGTTTTTGTACAATAAAGGAAGTTGGCTTCCTGTTTTAAGAAGAGCTGGGTGCTGTCTATTTCCTCAGGGATTTCAAGGGTGTGGTCCGTGGATGGTGTTCGGACAGGGGAAGCTGTGGTATAACGGAATATACCCAAGTGCGGGTCGGGTACCGGTTCCGTTACAATGTTGTTATCAGTTATGACACCAACCATTTGATGGCTTGAGAATCCGGTTGAGAGAACAAGCAATTGTAACAGTTTTCATTTTTGGCATGCAATGAATGTAATTGTTTTGGGAAGTTGTTAAATCGATGAGCTTAATTCCACCTTAATTAGAATTCCATGGAGTCTTAGGTTTCCTTCAGAGGTTGTTAGAGATTCCTTGTTCAATGAGCAATTTCTGTCCTTCAAATAAGTACCCACTGACACCAATGAAAAATTAATCCATCTATAAATGTAGGAATTCTTATCACTTGCCATATCAGTAAGGAAAAAAACTCATATCAAACCTAAAAAACTGTCATCCATGAGTATCTGCGTCATCCTAGGCAAATGGGAGCAACACCGTCAGTGTTAGGAGTCACACAAGCTCAAAACCAGAGGGTACATCAACTCAGGAGCCAGTCAGACAGCACGGGAACTGGACCGATGAGATCAGATGCAAGGGGGCATGGAGGGGGCATGGCTACGTGTTTTAAGGTAGCGATGCCTCTTTCCCAAGCCTGTCACTTGCATTTTTTACTAATCATTTACGAATACATTTTTTAATCAGACTGGCACTTCTTAGTGCAGCAATTTTACAATACTACAGATATTCTACAGTATTTGTTGATGAGCTGTGCTAAGTCCTTTAAAGCATCTATATCCCATTTGGCATTATGAACTATTCAGCTAGGCCTTCATCACTCTAGAGCAGCCTTTCTCAACCAGGGTGCCCAGGCACCCTGGGCTGCCTTGAGGTTTCTTCAGGGGTGCCTTGGCAAAATGTCTAAAAATTGCCCAAAACTTGTATACAAGTCAGCTGGTGGAACAAGCCTGCCTTTCAGTTACACAAAGCCACAGGTTTTCATTGTGCACCATTACAACCTTCTAACCGCCGGTGTCCTGACAACCAATGACATCATGAGCTGATAAGGAGGATGTCAGCTGCCTAGTTTGACCCTCTCCCTGCCCCACTCCATCAGTGCTGGGGTCACATTAGCTCAGTGATGGAGAAAAACTGAGGGAGAAGAGAAACCTTGGAATAATCCTCAATACCAGTGTGCAAAAGTGTATTTGCTTTGGAAGAATAAGTCACCTCTAACGTTGGGTGTCCTACATGTGTGGATGTTGCTGCGTTATATAAAACTATTAGAACAATTTTTCTGAATTTAAAATGGGGTGCTCTTTTAAAATTATGGACAGTATTGAGGCACCTCATTTCAGAATGGGGTGCCTCAAGATTGTCCATAATTTTAAAGGTGCCTCTGGACTGTCCATAATTTTAACCACCTCCCGCCCGCCATATAGTAATATGACGGGCACAAGGTGGTTCTCTCATCCTTGGAGGATGTCATATGAGCGTGCAGCGCGGGAATCGGCGGTGCGCTGTGTCCCCGGACACAACGGATCACCGATCACAGAAAGAGCCAAAGATGTCGGCTCGGTCATGTGATCAGCTGTGTCCAATCACAGCTGATCACATGTTCTCTCCTCTCGAGCTGTCACGCTGACAGCTCGAGAGGAGAGGAGGTAATCGGCTTTCCGTAGAAAGGACATCTACACTGATCATCAGGGCACTGATGATCAGTGTAGCCCCAGCAGTGCCACCTGTCAGTGTCCATCAGTGCCTTGTGTCAGTGTTCATCAGTACCTCGTTCCAGTGCCCATTAGTGCCACATCAATGCCACATATCAGTGCCTACCAGTGCACATCAATGCCACATATCAGTGCCCATCTGCGCTGACTTTCAGTGTCACCCATCAGTGCCAATCAGTGCCACCTATCAGTGCTGCCAATCAGTGCCACCTATCAGTGCCAGTCAGTGCCACCTATCAGTGCCGCCTATCAGTGCTGCCAATCAGTGCGCATCAGTGCCGCCTATCAGTGCGCATCAGTGCCGCCTATCAGTGCGCGTCAGTGCCGCCTATCAGTGCGCGTCAGTGCCGCCTAACAGTGCATGCCAGTGCCGCCTAACAGTGCATGTCAGTGCCACCTAACAGTGCATGTCAGTGCCGCCTAACAGTGCATGTCAGTGCCGCCTATCAGTGCCATATATCAATGTCATGTATCAGTGCTGCCCTTCAGTGCCATATATCAATGCCGCCCTTCAGTGCCACCTACCAGTGCCTCCTCCTCAATGCCCATCAGTGCAGCCTATCAGTGCTCATCACTGCAGCCTCATTAGCGCACATCAGTGAAGGAGAAAAAAATCACACTTATTTACAAAATGTTATAACAAAAACTAAGAAAAAACTTTTTTTTTCAAAATTTTCAGTGGTTTTTGGTTTAAGAAAAAATAAAAATCCCAGAGGTGATTAAATACCACCAAAAGAAAGCTCTGTCTGTCACAAAAAAAAATTATATCATATCAGTAAGGAGGTGGTCCCACCCACCACCAGAACAGCCAGGTCCTTCTCTCTCTCACCTCCCAATGGCACAGTGCTACACTTGTTATACATTATGACACCAGCATTGGAAGCCATGGCAGTCTGGTCGAGAGCTAACATAATTCCATTGAAGGCATTGTGGTGACATGTGTGCTTGTTTTGGGGAACCGTTAAATCGTTGGCTTTAGCTCCACTTTAATGACCACTAACTATAATAAGTTTTGTGATCTTTCATCAACTGCCACCTGGTCCCAAAAATAAGAACTGTAAATCAAACAAAGTTCCTTCATCCAACTTCTTCTGCGGTTCTTGTGGGATCTTTTTTTTTTCGCTTATTTTCATTCTAGTTACAATTCAGAATCAGTGTAAACGTCTGCAGGAATAGGAAAGAAAGTTGTACTTGTCAGCAGCGCCTGGTGACCCTGTCTTGTCAGTGGAAAAAAAATGACGCTGTATTAACATATAGTTTAATCACTGGCTGCAGCCTGTCCCTCCGGAGTGACGCTCAGTGATTTTTACACTCGCTGCTTCGGAGGCAGCCTTGCAGAACAATCTATCTATCTGAATGACATTTCATAAAAAAATAAATATTCTCTATATTGTTATTGAGCTCTGGAACAGAACAAAAAAAAAAAAAAACACTGAAACTCATAGATAAGGGAACTGAACAGACTTCTCAAGACCATAGGCCTTGTTTAATAAAACACGTGAAACCTTAAGGGGACTTAACAGGATGCTTTGTGAGTACATTTCGGAACAAGACGGGTTTTACATCTACTGCCATTACACTATACAATACCAACCCCCATTAGCCTTACCGCCACTGAGAACGACTGATTAATCTGTCCGCTATAACACTCAGCAAACGTACCTGGTTTTACTTAAAGGGTTACTAAACCCACAACAGTATAATCAGTCTGTAGATGCAGTAAAGCATGCTTGTTATACTCACTGTGGAACCTAAGGGGTTAATACTCTGCATTGTGCAAAAAGGCTGTTTGATCCCTTCTTCTCTGTTCCTCCCCTTTTTCAAGCGACCACCTCTTATCACCAGACTGAAACGTAGGCATGCATATGCTCAGTTTGATGTGTAGTGCTAGAGAGGGTTTTTTTTTTTCTTAGGAGAATTCATGTGATCAGCACAGGCACAGGGCCAATCAGAACTGTCCAGACAGTGGTCAGGGGACTTCCATCCTCCTAGAGCAGAAAGAAAACTCCTCCTAGAAGCTTTAACTAGTGGTGGGCTGAACACTGATAGAAGTCAACAGACTGCTGATGAGAAAAAGTATTTAGCAGCTTATATTTACTAAACTAATTGCATTTCCATGTTGTGTGAACTGTGGGAGACCAGATATAGAGAATGAAGGGTCCGGGGAGACCAGATATAGAGAATGAAGGGTCCGGGGAGACCAGATATAGAGAATGAAGGGTCCGGGGAGACCAGATATCGTGAATGCAGGGTCCGGGAAGACCAGATATAGCGAATGCAGGGTCCTGGGAGACCAGATATAGTGAATGCAGGGTCCGGGGAGACCGGATATAGTGAATGCAGGGTCCGGGGAGACCAGATATAGTGAATGCAGGGTCCGGAAAAACCAGATATAGACAATGCAGGGTCCGGGGAGACCAGATATGGTAAATGCAGGGTCCGGGGAGACCGGATATGGTGAATGCAGGGTCCGGGGAGACCGGATATAGTGAATGCAGGGTCCGGGGAGACCGGATATAGTGAATGCAGGGTCCGGGGAGACCGGATATAGTGAATGCTGCGTCCGGGGGACCAGATATGGTAAATGCAGGGTCCGGGGAGACCGGATATGGTGAATGCAGGGTCCGGGGAGAGCGAACATAGTGAATGCAGTGCCGCCTATCAGTGCTGCCAATCAGTGCCAGTCAGTACCGTCTATCAGTGCCGCCTATCAGTGCGCATCAGTGCCGCCTATCAGTGCGCATCAGTGCCGCCTATCAGTGCATGTCAGTGCCACCTAACAGTGCATGCCAGTGCCAGATATGGTAAATGCAGGGTCCGGGGAGACCGGATATGGTGAATGCAGGGTCCGGGGAGACCGGATATGGTGAATGCAGGGTCCGGGGAGACCGGATATAGTGAATGCAGGGTCCGGGGAGACCGGATATGGTGAATGCAGGGTCCGGGGAGACCGGATATAGTGAATGCAGGGTCCGGGGAGACCGGATATAGTGAATGCAGGGTCCGGGGAGACCAGATATAGTGAATGCAGGGTCCGGGGAGAGCGAACATAGTGAATGCAGGGTCCGGGGAGAGCGAACATAGTGAATGCAGGGTCCTGGGTTTAGTAACACTGTAAAAGTAACATTAAACCCAATCCCTACAAGCTCATATAAGCTTTAAAGTAGTAATAAGCCCAAAATGATATACCAGTGCGACTTAAAATGCGAATTGATACTTTCAAATCGCATGACAAGTTGCAACCTATTGTCCATCGCCAGAGTCGCACCAATTTTAAAAGTAGGGTGTAACTTCAGGTGTAACTTGCATAGCCATCTGTGCATGAAGTCTTGCAAGTCGCACTGAAATTTTGGTGGCCGAAATGACCCTGGTTGGCCGTCGGCCGAAATGAAAAAAAGCACAGATACAGGTGCCGAAAAACCCCGCCCCTCGCCGCCGGCTGTTACCATCACCGGCCGCCGTTCGGTAGTTCAGCCTTACCTGAGAAACCATCGATCCCAGCGCTCAGCATAGAGATGAGTGAAGGAAAGATGGAAGCCACACATCTCTATGCCCTTGGAGGACCAGAGCGATGTCACTTCCCATTCCAGCCATTTTTTTAATTTTTTTTTATTAAAGCACTAGATCAATGCTTTTTTTTTTGATCCAATGCTTTATGTTGCAGAGGAATGGTGTGGGGTCTTATTGACCCCGTATATCTCAATAAAGAGGACCTGTCACAAATTATTTCTATCACAAGGGACGCATGCATTTCTTGTGATAAGAATAAAAGTGATTCAACTTTTTTTTAAAGGAACAGTGCAAAAAAAAATAAAAAAAACATAAAATATTTTTTTTTTTTTTTATAAGTGCCCCTGTCCCCCTGTGCTTGATAGTGAATGAATACGTAGGCCATGCCTACATATGTTAATGGTTTTCAAACTACACATGTGAGGTATCGCCATGAACGTCGGAGCAAGAGCAATAATTCTCACACTAGAACTCCTCTGTAACGTTACACTGCTAACCTTTAGAAATTTTTAAAGCATCACCCATTTTTAAGTACCGCAGTTTCACGCTATTCCACGAGCGTGTGCAATTTTAAAGCGTGACATGTTGGGTATCTATTTACTCGCCATAACATTCTCTTTCATATTTTACCAAAAAATTGGGGTATATATAGGTTTTTTTTTTAATCAAAGTGTATTTTTTTTTTTCCAAAAAATATATATTAAATTTTGAAAAACTATGCATTTCAATTTCGGTTTTCGGCCAAGTGCATTTTGAATTTTCGTTTTTGGCATCAGAATTTTCATTTCGGTGCACCACTACTTGGTTGGAAAGTACAGAGACTCTTTACCCTAGAGGAACCCTTGAAAATAATGTTAAGGTCTCAGGGAACCCCTAGTGAGATAAGTTTATTGTGGGTCATTTTGAAAATGTAGCTTACATTGGTGGTGGTAAGTGGGAGGAATTACCACCTTACAGGAGTGGCCAGGATGACACATTTGCAGTCATGTTAGCACTTCCACCTGGCAGCACTAGGGTCGTTGGTTTGAATCCCAACCACGGCACAACATGCCTGGAGTTTGCATGTTCTCCCTGTGTCTGCGTGGGTTTCCTCCAGGTACTCCGGTTTCCTCCCACACTCCAAAGACATGCTGTTAGGTTAACTGGATCCTGTCTAAATTGGCCCTAGTATGTGTATGTATGAATGTGAGTTAGGAACCTTAGATTGTACGCTCCTTGAAGGTTAGGGACTGATGTGAATGCACAATATATATATGTAAAAGCGCTGCGTAAATTGACGGCGCTATATAAGTACCTGAAATAAATAATGTTTCTGGCTCTGCCAAGTGGTGTTAGATCTCCCATCTGAGTTCCAAGTCAATTAGCCATAGCTCAAGGAACCCTTCGCTTTTTCTGTACGAACCCTGGTTGAGAGTGGCTGCTCTAAAGACTTCACAAAAAGGGGACAGGAAAATTTTTTTTATATATATATATATATATATATATATATATCTATATCTATCTATCTTTCTATATCTATATAGATATGTATATATATATATATATATATATAGATAGATATATATAGATATGCATATCTATATATATATATATATATATATATATAGATATGCATATCTATATATATATATATATATATATATATATATATATATATATATATGTGTGTGTGTGTGTATATATATATATATATATATATATATATAATTTTTTTTTTTTTTAATGTATCATTTGTGCACAGTGCTTTTTAATGACATGAGCCCCCTTTACGGGGAATTAAAACGTATAAAGGCTAAATAACTCTTTAAGGTATGCAGCTACATTTGATCTTTTTTCACAGGTTTAAATAACCCTTTAACAAGCTAAAGTATTTTTAAAAGCATGTTTTTTAAATAAGCAGCATTCGTTAAAACAATGCTTGTCACAAATGCTCCTTGTTTTAGGTACTTCATATGATAAAGTGACAACTCTCACATTGTGACTATTACACATGCTCGAAGTAGTCACGCCAACACACAATTACTAGGCACGGTCTTCCATTGCTACGATCTATAAACCCAGTCCAAATCTATGATGTGTAGCCAATGCTGGAGCGAGAGCATGTAAATGCTGGCAGTACAATGAAAAAAAGGATGAAAAAAATAGCAACTGTTTATTATACGCAATGCTTTAGCAAACTAGTGACAGCACAGAAAACCTAACAAATGGCCAAACTCTTTGTCAGTTTGATCTTTGCTTTGACAACAAAAATAATTGTATGATTTGTTTCTTGTTCTCTTAAAATATACATAAGAAGGAGCACAGTGGCTAAGGCGATGACCTTGGGCGTCCTCTTTTTTTACGTTCCCACCATGCAGTCCAACTTCTTGTATACGAGAGCTTTGGGGCAGGAATGACCCAGCCTGTAGATCACTGGAGGATATAAAGAGCGTGAGTTCAGAGTTCAACTAGAGAGGAGTTTGGTCAAAATCAGCCTTTCTCAACCTTTTCAACACAGAAGAACCCTAAAAATAACTTTCTAGTCTCAGGAAACCCCTGCTAAAAAGGACTATATCGACAACTCATAAAACAGCGTGATGGTCAGTAGGAAGAATGCTCCTTACACTTGTGGTCATTGGGAAGAATTCCCCCCTTACATATAGCTGAAAATATCAATGGTGTCAGTGGGAACTTATCTGAGAGGCAGAAATTGCTCACTGGTTGAGGAATCCCTAGAAACCTCTAGAAGAACCTTGAGGTTCCATGGAACCCTGGTTGAGAAACCCTGCTCTAAATATTGATATACAGACCTCTATTCAGTCCTATGTATCTGTGAACTGTGCCCTAAATCTCTAAATTATTGCATTTTTATTCTGAAAAGCTAGTATATTGGAAAAGCAGTTGTGAAAAATGAAGATAAGATTTTAACCAATTATTCCCTGGGTATTTTGCTTACATACTTTGTGCTAAAAGGTTTCTCTCTTTCCCATTTTTGAAAACTAAAAGGAATGCATATGCACCAGAGACACTGAACTGAACTGAGTTCATAAGTAGGTTACTCCTGAATTTGAATGGATTTCCTCTTTCAACACAAAAGCATGCTGGTAGGCTAGTTAGTGTCTGACCCAAACGATCCTAGAGAAAGTATGCCCGTCTAATAGAATGGCAGTTAGTCTACTAGATCTGCCTCTTAACCAAAAAGTCCCATGGAATCTTATTGTTCATCCCAGAGGTTGCTAGGAGTTTCTTGATCAATGAGCAGTTTTTAACCCACAGATGTGTAACCACTGACACTAATTATCTTTTTAACCTTCCTTAAAGTGTTACTAAACCCACAACAGTAAAATCAGTCTGTATATGCAGTAAATTCTGCTGGTTATACTCACTGTGGAACCTAAGGAGTTAATCCTCTGTATTGTATAAAAACGCTGCTTGATCCTGACTTTTCTGAACCTCCCCTTTTTCCAGTATTTCCCTCTTATCGCTTGATAAGACATAACATGGGCAGTCGCTCAGCGCATGCTCAGTTTGGTGTGTATCGCTAGAGAGGTTTTTTTGGGGTTTTTTTTTTTGGGGGGGGGGGGCAGTGAATGTGATCAGCACAGGACCAATCAGCACTGTCCAGACAGAGGTCCAGCATCCTCCTAGAGCAAAATGAAAACTCCTCCTACAAGCTTTAACAAGTGCTCGGCTGGACACTGATAGAAGGCACAAGACTGCTCTATACTGCTGATGAGAAAAGGTATTTAGCAGTTTATATTTACTAAAAATAATTGCATTTCCATAATTTACATAATTTGCATTGTTGTGTGTACTGTGGGAGACCAAATATAATGAATGCAGGGTCCGGGGAGACCAGATATAGTGAATGCAGGGTCTGGGGAGAGCGGATATAGTGAATACAGGGTCCAGGGAGACCAGATATAGTGAATGCAGGGTCCGGGGAGACCAGATATAGTGAATGCAGGGTCCGGGGAGAGCAGGTATAGTGAATGCAGGGTCCGGGGAGAGCAGATATAGTGAATGCAGGGTCCGGGGAGAGCAGATATAGTGAATGAAGGGTCCGGGGAGACCGGATATAGTAACTGCTGATGAGAAAAGGTATTTAGCAGTTTATATTTACTAAAACAATTGCACTTCTATGTTCTGAGTACTGTGAAAGATCAGATATAGTGAATGCAGGGTCCGGGGTTTAGTAACACTTTAAGGAGAGCATTCTTCCCACTGACCTACAATGTAAGGAACGTTCTTCCCACTGATGACCAATGTAAGTTCACATTTTTCCCACTGACCACCAAGTTAATGTACCATGAGCTGTAGATACAGCAGTTTTTAACAGGGGTTCCCTGAAACCTGAAAGTTATTTCAAGAGGTCCTCCTTGTTGAAAAGGTTAACTTGTTCCCATGGACTGTACACATATATGCTGCCCAAATGTAAACAGTTCTGTGCTGAGAGCACGCACCCTACGCACATCCAACATGGTTACCGGCGAGAACCAGAAAGATCTCGATGCATACTTGAGGTCAGGAGCTTTCCGATCATGTGACCATTGTGGCAGCCAATCACAGTGGTTACAAGACCCAAATGCCTGCCTCTGCCTCCCAGCTTTTAAAACTTTAGAGTTCTGTGTATTCGGGTTTTAATTTATCAATTCAGTTTTTTTTATTGGTTGAACTCAATGGGCTTGTGTCGGTAACAACTGGACTACCTACTGCAGTGGTGTATTTAGGTTTTGTGCTGCCCTAGGCAACACAACAATCGACTCTCCCCCCCCCCCACAGAGAGACCCTAACAAACACCCTCCTCCTCCACGGCAAGAGCCTGACATTGACCAACAACACACACCACCCCAGATCCCCCCTCACCCAAGAGAGCCTTCCACTACCACCGCCCCCATACACACTAGCAACCCCTCCCTGGTGAGAGAGAAGACACTCACATTCACAGCACCGGACATCCTAGGGAACAAGAGCCACGCTTTGCATACACCATCAAGAAGCCTGCAACCTCTCTCAGTTCCCACCTGGTCCCCATGCTGCGTGTGTCCTTTTTTACCATCCTTTCTTTCGGGGGGCAGTGCTGCCCCCCAGAAAAATGCTGCCCTAGGCAAATGCCTTGTTTGCCTTGTGGTAAATACGCCCCTGACCTACTGTATATAACTATGCAAGAGCGGTATGGTCACCAGACGACTGTGAGCTCCAATGGCAATGGTTCCATGTAGTCTGTAAAGCTCTGTGTAATATGCTAATGATATACTAGTAGGGGAAATAAGCAATCTAATGAATACATACAATCCTGCTAACACATTCCTTTCAAAGAAACTCCAGAAGCTATCTTTGTTTTAACCCAATATAATGCACTTCACACTAAAAGGACAGACAAGGATAAAAAGTAATATTCTACTTCATTGTGACAGGACCTCTAAAGCTATCTAAAGGTTTTTTCATTAGGCTAGTTTAATCATGGTTCCTCTCCAACTGCCTACATCTATATATGTACTCAGCCTCTTGGGAGTCTATGTAAGTCATGTTCATCTGAGAACACTTCAGACGTGATGCACAGAAACTCCTTGTCCTGTACTATTGCAGAAATATGACAGACAGCATCTGGAGGAAGAAAGAAGGAGGCCTGGGATGGCTTCTGTTTCCAAGCCATTAATTGCATTTAATGTAGAGTGGAGTGGTGCACAGCAGTATATTCAGCATCTAGCATCATCCCTTGGGGCAGTTGTGTTGCATTTATGGCTTTTACAACCAACAAAGAAGAAACAAAATGCCAAAAGAAAGAATACTGGACTTTTGAATGCAGGTATTCAAGTCGGAGTGATAACATAAAGAAGTCCTGCTTAGATTGTATAATGAAGTATAAGAAACAAAATGGCCGCTAAGCACTTGTAAATCAATCAGAGGTGACCAGCACCGCTACTATATATATATATATATATATATATATATATATATATATATATATATATATATATATATATATATATATATATATATATACACACACACGCATATACATATATATATACATACATACACACACAGGGGTTACAATTTCGAGTCCAGACCTACTAGCCGGTCACAAAACCCCCAGTACGCTCCAAACCCCACCCCTGGCCCGCCCCCAACCAAGCCCCCTTAAAGCTTATGAAATTACATTTTTCTTTAGAATAAAGAGTCCTGTACTCCATTATAGTGATATGACATGTATACAGTAATGTATATCCCCCCCTCCTCTGTACTCCATTATAGTGATATGACATGTATACAGTAATGTATATCCCCCCTCCCCTGTACTCCATTATAGTGATATGACATGTATACAGTGATGTATATCCCAGCTCCCCTGTACTCCATTATAGTGATATGACATGTATACACTATGTATATCCCAGCTCCCCTGTACTCCATTATAGTGATATGACGTGTATACAGTAATGTATATCCCAGCTCCCCTGTACTCTATTATAGTGATATGATATGTATACAGTATGTATATCCCCCTCCCCTGTACTCCATTATAGTGATATGACATGTATACAGTAATGTATATCCCAGCTCCCCTGTACTCCATTATAGTGATATGACATGTATACAGTAATGTATATCCCCCCTCCTCTGTACTCCATTATAGTGATATGACATGTATACAGTATTGTATATCCCAGCTCCCCTGTACTCCATTATAGTGATATGACATGTATACAGTAATGTATATCCCAGCTCCCCTGTACTCCATTATAGTGATATGACGTGTATACAGTAATGTATATCTCAGCTCCCCTGTACTCCATTATAGTGATATGACATGTATACAGTAATGTATATCCCCCCCTCCTCTGTACTCCATTATAGTGATATGACATGTATACAGTATTGTATATCCCCCCTCCCCTGTACTCCATTATAGTGATATGACATGTATACAGTAATGTATATCCCCCCCTCCTCTGTACTCCATTATAGTGATATGACATGTATACAGTATTGTATATCCCAGCTCCCCTGTACTCCATTATAGTGATAGGACATGTTGTATACAGTACTTACTGTCCCCCCAAGTCCCCCGCGGCGGTGGAGAGGGTGTCTCCTCTCAGTGGAGGAGAGAGGACCTCTCCTGAACCTGTCCCGTCAGCGGTGCAGCAGAAGCCGGAAACTGGAAGTTGTAAACCGGAACTCGGCTTCACAATGAGGCTGGGAGCGCAGGTGCAGTCGCTCCATGCTTCATCTGTGCTCACCGCTCGCAGCCGCTCGCCACAGAGGAATTTCTCCTCGCATTTGGCAAGCGGCCTTTTCAAGCCCTGATATATATATATATATATATATATATAATATATAGATAGATAGATAGATAGATAGAGGGAGAGAGAGAGAGAGACAGACAAGCCATTTAGAAATTGCCAGAACCACCAAGTTGCCATTCCAAGCTTTCAATCAACCTTTGGCAGACTTGTTGACACTAAAGGGATTTTCCAGATTACGTGATTGACCATGATATAAAGGGTGCATCTTCTTCCACACTCTAAGTAGTAGAACCCTATCATCATATTCTTAACATTGTCTAGCAGACTAAAGAACAAGTGCTGCACATAATAGAGCTCATGGTAATAAGGCACAACACCGATTTTTCTCTTCAGACGGCACAACAAATTCCCAGTGTGCAGTTTAAAGCAGACGTAAATTCAAAACTGCAACTTGAGCTCATTTATAAGCATATTATACACACTAATGGCTGCTATTATCTCCATCCTGCAAAGACTTTTTTTCATGTGATATTGATGCTAATTTTCCTGGTAAATTCACCAATGTCTGCGCATTCCATTGCACATTATCGGCGTGCTGATGTGCCAAGGTGTGCAGAACACCTAAGTTGGGACTACGTCATCATAGATGTCCAATACTCAAAAGAGCACCTATGTTGGGATGACACCACCACAGATCTCCAACACTCAGAAGAATGCCTATGTTGGAATGATGTCATCATAGATCTCCAACACTCGGAAGAGTGCATATGTTGAGATGACATCATCATGAATCTCCTTCACCCGGAAGAGAGCCTATGTTGGAATGACGCCACCACAGATCTCCAACACTCGGAAGAGTGCCTATGTTGGAATGATGTCATCAGAGATCTCCAACACTCGGAAGAGTGCCTATGTTGGAATGATGTCATCATAGATCTCCAACACTCGGAAGAGTGCCTATGTTGAGATGACACCATCATGAATCTCCATCACCTGGAAGAGGGCTTATGTTGGGATGACGCCACCACAGATATCCAACACTTGGAAGAGTGCCTATGTTGGGATGACATCATCATAGATCTCCAACACTTGGAAGAGTGCCTATGTTGGGATGATGTCACTATAGACCTTCACCAAAGATGCTCACAAATATATGTCTATCTTGGTCTGTGTATGCCGGAGTTGCTAGAGGGGCAAAGAAGGCATGGGGAATTTAACAATGAGACACACAGGATGGCACAGGATCTTAGGGAAGAACAGCGTACACCACCAAACAACGTAAGAGATGAAGTACAGTTTCTTGGAGCATTGATTAGTCATTTGCTAAACTAAAGATATGGGTTTCTGGGAGGTTTTTTGCAGACTTATTTTGAAAAATTGAATCCACCAGAGATCTCAGCTCTGATCCTTGACTACCTGTAGGGGGGAGTCACACTTGCTGTTGCATTTTGTATGAAGCACTCAGTATGGACAATGCAGCAGGAAGCTTTAGATATTGCAGTAGCAGAATAAGCAAGACTCGACAGCCATCAACTTCAGGGCACTAAGATGATATTGTGATCTTGTCTTTCTCAACCCTTTTACACCTAAAGGGGAACCCTTACAAAGATCAATCTATCAGTGGCAAAAATGTCTCTTACATTTGTGGTCAATAGAAAGAATTCAACCCTTACATATAGACAGCTAATAAAGATAATTGGTTTAATGCTGTTAGCTTTGCCAAGTTGGGTTGGTCCTAAAACTATGCAGGCATCATCAAA